GCTTACTTTGCTTTTCGTTTCTATGACGTTTAGCTAGCGCTTTAAATTCTTCACCACAAGGTGCACCAAAGGATGGACCTATTAGCTACGACTTTTCACACTTCGACCAAAGAAAGAAGTTTGAACTGAAATGGATTCGGACTTTTTTCGTGTCAAGTAACACCAAATCTATCTACAATTAAATTCACCCCATGATGGCTTCTTCAGCCTGTACATTACATAGAAAAAATATTTATAATTTCTTTATTTTACTTTGGGATATTTCTCAATTGCAATTGGTTGAATGCAGTACAATTGCTTGTTATTGCTTTGTAGTAGAGTGTAATTGCACAGTTATGTAGCGTGATCAGCTGAAAAGCAATAAACGTCAAAAAACAGGCTCATTTTTTGTTCATAAAAACAAGCAGGGCCGTAGCTAGAAAGTTAATTGTGGTGGTGGGGGAGGGGTTGGGGGTAGTGATTATTCATATATTCAGTTTTGCAAGACTGATTTCTTTAGTACGCCAAATCACTTTCAAACGAAGTCCGTCGAGCGCAACAGAATATATAAAAAAAACTCAAATAGCTTTCTAGCTACGGCCCTAAAAAGGAAAATCTAAAATTCAAGAAGTACAGAACAACACATTAAGAATAAAGTAATAACAAAAAATGCTGTTTTTGTGGTGAATGTGCATATTTATAATTGTTGGGCCACGCAACGAGACTTCTGAAGCGATAGACAATTACAAAGCATGAACTTAAGAGTTAAAACAGCTTAAAACAAGAAAAAATATAACTTTTGCCTAACAGTTTTTCTATCCAAATGCATATGGCTATCGTTTGCTTGTAAAATACGCTATTTATTTTTAGCAAAAATGTACATATATTCTTACTTCCTTTTTGACGAAAAGTAGAGAACGAAAAACTGTTGTGTTACAACGTTTTACTCTTTTATTGCTCTGTGACAAAAGAAACTATCAAGGTCTGAATTGCACGAGTCATTACAGTCACATGTAATGAACGGAAACCTAACAATAGTAGTATTTTTGGAAGAGAGTGAGCAAAGATATAGAGTTCACAAATTTGTAAATTATCTATTCTATTAAATAATTTCACCGAATCTGTAATTTGTTGATTGAAATTGATTATTTCGTCCTTGTATATGAAAGTTTAACCCACTGGTGTAATGTTTCCTTCGTAAATCAACTGATGGGGAAAAAAGGTTTAATTGTTTTGCATTTACTTATTTGTAAATATTTTCAATATAAATTTTGCAAAAATCATTAATAATAGCAAATTGAAAACCATAATTTGTATTTTGTCCATATCACATTGAATACTGTATTCTTAAGATATTTTCTTTTAAACTTAAATGATATAATACAGGCAACGTCGCGTGTGATTGCTTAACACCTTTTCACTCAAATGACCGAAATCTCTGGCTATGAATATGGGCTATCGCTATATGCCACATTTGTTACAAAATCTTTACATAATGAATGAATTGTATTCAAAAGATCAAACTATGACCTGCATTTATTGTACTTGTGCAACGCTTACCGAACTACATAACAATAATACAAAGTCTATAGTTAAGAAATATCATTAAGAGCACGAAGAGAAGCAAATATTTGTGTTGACGAAATTAGAGGCTTTTCACGCGTTCGTGTGTTATGAAAAAAAAAACAAAAATCGCAGAAAACTCTATCCGTTGCGTCATAATAATGCATACAATAATAGTTTAGTAATATTGTTTTATCAAACGTTTTGGGTATGTGCATACACATAACTTTTGAAAAAAAATTTTTACTTTGTTTTTGACATAAAAATCGAAATACATTATCATAGAAGATAGCTATTTAGTCAACTAGGTAGAGCCACATAGATGTAAAAAAAACTTAATAAATATGCAGAAATACTTTAACTCATGAATTCACGAATTCAAGGAATTTCTAAAAAAGGCTTTGAAGTTAGACAACTGTAGGAAAACAGTGTTTCTGTTAATTTTTCTAATTTATGCTCTCAAACAAACATGGCCTTCAATTCTAAGAGGAATATGATTGTGTTTAAAGTTTATATCAAACAACAAATATCACAAAGTTAATTATTTTAAAACTTAATAGCTCAGGCGATGAAATTTTCAAAAAATTTTATTGACATTACGTAAAGTTACTCTGATGTACAACTTATTGGCGGGTAGTTATACAATAATGAACATCATAAATTGAATTTATTCTTGGCAATTTGTCAAGAACATACCACAAATAGCTCTAGCATACTTGAATGATTGTCTGTCAGTGTATTATGTCATAAAATACTTGCATGTAAAATGATTATGTATTCGAGAAACTAATCATTCGACTTAAATTATATCTTCAGAGTTGTGACCAGGGATGTACCGGGCGAAAAGCGAAGTTTAAATATAAATATCGAAGCCCAGCAAAGTGTCTTTAAAAGAGCTATTTAATGTATAGAAAGAAATATTTATTTAAAAGTGTAACGTTTCGTCTTGACTCTCAAGACATCATCAGACAATATTGAATTACAAGTATAGAGGGATATATATATATAATAGCTATTTACATAATATTAAATTACATGGTGGGATGAAAACGTGTTAGTAAATGTTGGATAAGATGGTATGACGTGGGATAAGTAGAAACGCGAAAGAAACAAAAATAAACAAACAAAACACACACAATAACAAAATATACAGACATGAGGACAGACGAAATTACATTAAAGCAACTGAAGAACAATGGAGTTTCCTTGGACGTTAAGAGATGGTTTGATTTTGTTGATTAAGAGGCTTTCGTGAATAAGAAGTTCTTGTGAGTTAAAGCATGAAGAAAGTATTTCAAAATCCTCAAAGTGGTGGTGTGTCCTGTGGATTTAAGGTGTGATAGTATGGAGGAGTGACAGGGATGTTTAGAAGGTTTACCAGTCAAAGGGGTGATGCCCAAATGCTCTGAAATTCGAGTGTGTGGGTAGAGGGTGGTTTGACCCACGTATGATGTGGAGCAGCATCAACACTTAAAAGAATATACAACATTCGATTTCAGAGTTTTGGGCACTTTGTGCTTGAGAGGAAACAGGCTGGAGAGGCGTTTGGTGGATCGAAAGAAGAATCGTATTTCACAGTGTGGGAAAGCGGCACGACAAAGGCGATTGATTTGTGTGCGGATTTGAGATGAGTATAGACCAGTAAATGGAAGGCCGAAGTATTTTCTTGGGTACGGTATGAACAGATAGTTTGGGTTGAAAGACTTTGTCAAGAAACATTTTTACACAGTGATCAAATATGTGACAGGGAAATGAATTGGAAATAAACAATCTGCGTGCTTTTTCGATTTCAGTATGGAAGTTTTTATAAGTGGAGCAAATATTAAAGAAGCGATGAACTAAACATAATATTAAGCTGCGTTTATATTTTAGTGGGATGAAGCTGTGAAAATTAGTAAAAAGACCAGTGAACGTAGATTTTCTGTATATGGACGTGAAGAACTTTCCATTAGAGCGATGAATGGTGATGACAAGAAATGGAAGTTTTCTATTGTGTTCGATGTCACTGTAAACTTAATATTAGGGTGTTTGTGGTTTAAATAGGTCAGAAAGGGTTGCACATGGTCAGCAGTACGAAAAAGGAGAAAACAATCATCAACGTATCTTCTATAGCCTTTGTTTTATTATATTTGATGATCTTAAGGCGTTTGTTTTATTACATTTTGCGTTGATATTTGGTGTGACCGTAGTCCGTATATAAATCGTCGATCTAAATACATGAATGCTAAATCATTTCATCTATTAATTGGTAAATAACGACGCATTCATTATGTAAAGAGTGAAAAGTAGTTGTACTCACCTTCAAATATATCTTTTTGTTTTTGTTTGAAAATGACTATCGCTTAAGACTATTCTACAAGCTCTCAAGCTTCGTGTACTCTTTGCTGTGCAACTAAACAAAATATTGATGAATAAACATGCTCGAACTTTCTTTTTGGCATAGCAGAGATCACATTGGTCGCCAGCGCTAAGTCTGTGAACCAATAAAACTTTTGTGTGAAAATAGACTTCTCACATAGGCGTCATAAAATGTTGCCAAGACTCTGATGCCTTTGTCTTCAATTATCTTCTTGAGATATTTGTAAACGAAATATGAAAACATCAACATTATACAACGTTGATCATTTTAAGAAACCCAGCTTGTGTAATATGTAACTTATACTGTAAACGGATTGATCTGACGTAGATTGTTGTTATTAAAACATAATAGATGATGGTTTATGAGTTTAACAACAATGGTACAAAATTATTAGTCTTTCACAATCTTTCATCATTTCACATTTGCACCGTCACTCTTCCCTATTGCTGATGATCTTGTCTTATTACACATTAACCCACATTTAAAGCAATAATGCAATTATTGTGTGACTTATAATTAAATATATTGGCAATACCAAATCCCTGGTTTTATCTATTTCCTTAACATAGATAAAATACCAAAAAAGAGCCAAATGTTTGGCAAATCTATTTGGACATTTTTCCATTAGAATGAATTTATTTATAAAAAAGCAATGTTTTGAAATCGAGACAACTGCTGAGATAATAACTGCAATTTCCTCTTTTATTCTCTGACTAAAGAATTTCACAAAGAAGATTCTAGAATGATGATGGCATAGGCAGAAATCAAATGATTGTAAACTTGTGTAGAATACAATTTACGATAAAGTGTAGTTTTGAAGGAAGAAACTCTACATATCGTTTATAAACAGGCTATGTGAAAAAGTGCAACATTGGATGTCGATTTTCAAACGACACTTATAAAATTTGCGTGACTCATTAACTGACCCCATGGAGGTAAAATTGCAAATGAATAAACTAATGCAAAACATTTTGCAGCCAATGCACATTCCAAAATCACAGTACTTTAAAACTTCTTTTATTGCAATTACCCCTCCTCTGAGAAATAATTACAGCTGAATCATGCAAAATCTTAAACGTCAATGGCAGCAATAATATACCGCACTCCCTACAAATACCACATCCATTATGTCGGCATAATAAAATGTCAATTTTTGCATAAATGTCTGTTTCGTTTATGTATACATATTAAGAAAATCCAAACTTTCAACATAAATTAACTAATATATCGAATTAATAGAATCCTAACATTTCACTTTCCAGAAATCCGTTTGTAAAAGAAAATAGAGCCATCAACTTGGAATTTAATGTTTTAACTAAAAGTATTTTGAAATTTGACATTGACGTATATCAAGCTTTTTGTATACATGCCAATGTATCCCTTTGTAATAAAATGTCGCGAACAAGGAAATATGAGTGTTAGTATAATCATATATTTGTTTATTTTAGGCATACATACTTCAAATATCTATTACTTTAAAAAGATCATGAGAATAATTTGATTATGTAATACAAATTCTCCATCATAAGATGTTACATTAAAAGCCACATTAAGAGTCACGTTGTTAAATAAATTCTTAACAAGCGTTGTTGGTTATTTTACGGCAATTATGACATAATTACAAAGTGTCGATTTATTTTGGTAAATGTCTGAATTCATCCGACGCTTAAAATTTTGCATGATTCAGCTGTAATTATTTCTCAGAGGAGGGTTAATTGTAATGAAAGAAGTTTCAAAGTACTGTGATTTTGGAATGTGCATTGGCTGCAAAATGTTTTGAATTAGTTTATTCATTTGCAATTTTACCTCCATGGGGTCAGTTAATGAGTCACGCAAATTTTATAAGTATCGTTTGAAAATCGACATCCAAGAATACACGTTTTTACATAGCCTGTTTATAAACGATATGTAGAGTTTCTACCTTCAAAACTATACTTTATCGTATTCCACACAAGTTCATTGTATTCCACACAAGTTTACAATCATTTGATTTCTGCGTATGCCATCATCATTCTAGAATCTTCTTTATGAAATTCTTTAGTCAGAGAATAAAGAGGAAATTGCAGTTATTATCCCAGCAGTTGTCTCGATTTCAAAACATTGTTTTTCTATAAATAAATTCATTCTAATGGAAAAATGTCCAAATATATTTGCCAAACATTTGGCTTAGCTTTATCAATTCTTTTTTAGATATTTTATCTATGTTAAGGAAATAGAAAATTTTTTTTAAAAGACTAGCATTCAATTCTGCCAAAACTAGGGATTTGGCTTTGCCAATGTATTTAATTATAAGTCATAAAGCAGCTGCATTATTGCTTTAAATGTGGGTTAATGTGTAATAAGACAAGATCATCAGCAATAGGGAAGAGTGACGGTGCAAATAGGAAATGATGAAAGATTGTGAGAGACTAAAAATTTTCTTCCATTGTTGTTAAACTCATAAACCATCATCTCTTATGTTTTAATAACAACAATCTATGTCAGATCAATCCGTTTACAGTATAAATTACATATTACACAAGTTGGGTTTCTCAAAATGATTAACGTTGTATGATGTTGATGTTTTCATATTTCGTTTACAAATATCTCAAGAAGATAATTGAAGACAAAGGCATTAGAGTGTTGGCAATTCTTTATGGCGCACATGTGAGAAATCATTTAAGGAAAAATTTTACTGGTTAGCGTTGGCGACCCACGTGATCTCTGCTATACCAAAACGAAAGTTCGAGCATGTTTGTTCATTAATATTTTGTTTAGTTACACAGCAAAGAGTACAATAAGCTTGAGTGCTTGTAGAATAGTCTTAAGCGTTAGTAATCTTCAAATAAAAACAAAAAGATACTTGTCAAAGGTGAGTTCAATTTTTTCTCACTCTTTATATAATGAATGTGTCGTTATTTACCAATTGATAGATGAAATGATTTAGCATTCGTGTATTTAGATCGACGCTTTATATACGGACTACAATCACATCAAATATCAACGCAAAATGTAATAAAACAAAGGCATGAACTTCAGAAAACAAAGAATTAAGTAAATTAAGGCAATCAAACACTATATTGTTACAGGAAGTTGACTCTTTACTTAAACATTTACAGCAAAATTTTTTCCCACTGATTTCGCCATTGCGTTTCTTCCTGGCGCGTTTTTCATGGTATTTGTTTATATTAAACCTTTTTATTTACACTTTACTGTAGATATAATTTAAGTCGAATGGTTGATTTCTCGAATACATAATCATATTACATGCAAGTATTTTATGACATAATAAACTGACAGGCAATTTACAAAATCATTCAAGTATGCTAGAAATATTTGTGGTATGTTCTCGACAAATTACCAAGAACAATTACAATTTTATGATGCTCATTTTTGTATAACTACCCGGCGATAAGTTGTATATCAGAAAAACATTACGCAATGTCGATAAAATTTTATGAAAATCTCATCGCTTGAGCTACTAAGCTTTAAAATAAGTAACATTGTGATATTTGTTGTTTGACTTAAACTTTAAGCACAATCACATTTCTCTTAGAATTGAAGTCCATGTTTTTTGAGAGCATAAACTAGCAAAATTAACAGAAACTTTGTTTTCCTACAGCTGTCTAACTTCCAAACTTTTTTTTAGAAATTCCTTGAATTCATGAATTCATGAGTTAAAGTATTTCTGCACATTTGTTAAGTTTTTTTTACATCTACGTGCCTCTATCTAGTTGACAAAATAGCAATCTTTTATGAATCTATTTCGATTTTTATGTCAAAAACAAAGTAAAAAATTTTTTTAAAAAAAAAATTATGAGTAAAAGTAAAAATTTTTTTTAAAAATTTTTTTAAAATGTTATGTGTATGCACATACCCAAAACGTTTGATAAAACAGTATTACAAAACTATTAATGTATGCATTATTATGACGCAATAAATACAGTTTTGCGCGATTTTTGTTTTTTTCTCATAACACACGAACGCGCGAAAAGCCTCTAGTTTCGTCAGCACAAATATTTGCTTCTCTTCGTGCTCTTAATGATATTTCCTAACTATAGACTTTGTATTATTGTTATGTAATGCAGTAAGCATTGCACAAGTACAATAAATATAGGTCATAGTTTGATCTCTTAAATACAATTCATTCATTATGTAAAATTTTGCAACAAATGTGGCATATAGAGATAGTCCATATTCATAGCTAGAGATTTCGGTCATTTGAGTGGAAGGGTGTTAAGCAATTAATTTGCTAACCATAAAAACCCTGACGAAACTTATTACAACCATAAATGATTTCTGGCAATTCGTTCTTAATTTGTGCATATTGTTGTTGTGCAGATGTGAGAGCTCTCGATGCGTATGCTAATGGCCTATAATCTTGTAAAAGAACTGCACCCAATCCTTTACTACTTGCATCTACCAATGTCTTTACTGGTTTCTTTACATCATAGTACTGGAGTATGGGTTTTGATGATGCAAGAATTTTCAAGTTTTGGAAGCTTTCTTCTTGACTCTTATTCCAATGCCAAGCCGTATTTTTCTTAACTAATTTTTTCGAAGAAGCACTTTCTTCTGACGAGCTAGGCATAAACTTAATAAGGTACTAGATAAATTTAAGAAATCATCTTACTTTACTGAGATCTTTGCACTTTCCATTTTAAGTACAGCTCAGACTTTTTCAGCATCAGCTCTAACTCCTTCAGACGTTTTAAAATGACCCTATTATAAAACGTCTCTAATAAGATGCCCCTAATATGAAACTTTTGACTGCCGTATTCTGCACTTTTTTAGATGCAGCAAAAGATGGTGAGGTTTTTCTCTTTCTAACACCTTTCGCAATCTTTCATTGTGTTCTTTAGCATTCCGACCCCATACAATGATGTCATCCATAATAGAGTCCACAACTTGTAAATCCTCTAACATTCTCGACATAGCACGCTGAAACACTTCTGGTGCTGATGCAATTCCAAACAGAAGCCTCGTAAATCGATAACATCCAAACGGCGTATTAAAAGTACATAACCTCGAGCTTGCTTTATCAAGATAAATTTTCCAAAATCCTGATTGAGCATCTAAAACAGAAAAAACTTTGGCACCAACCAAATGTGCCAATACCTCTTTAATCGTTCTCATTGGATAGTGTGCTATCTATGTTACTTACTTTTTTTAGTGCGCGCATATTCTTGATTTTCCATTAGGTTTGACGACACAGACCATATATTGACCCATTCTGTTGGCTTTTGCACTTTCTAAATTCCCCCTCAGCTTCCATAAAATCTAGTTCAGTTTGAACTAACTCTTTTAATGCTATGGAGAATTTCCGAGGTTGTGGGTTATCTGGTTTTGCATAAGATTGTAGTCTTACAGAATATTCTCCGGGAAGGCAGCCCGATCCTTTATACAATTCTGGATAATCTTGTTCCAGATTAATTACACTGGTAATCTGTCTCTCTGATTCTTCTTTGGCAATTTTATAAGCTCTTTTTACTGAATTGAGCTCTTGGCAGGTTTTAGCACTCAGAACTATACATGCTTTTTCATCTACTACAAAGATGTTCACATTGTAATAGTTCTCTCTGAAAATTACTGGCAAAACTACTGTGCCATGTACCACTTTGGGGGTCCCAAATAAGATTTAAGTGATGTATCCAATTTAGTCATTGTTCGCTTAAAGATAAGCTTTTGTAAATGATTGTAGAAATTGTGTTACATTTTGCTCTAGTATCTACTGAAATTCAATTAGTTTAACCTTTTATTTTTAGTGTCTCAAACCACCCTTTGCTGCTATCTACGACATTTATCTCCGAGTGTACACATCCAATGAACTTACATTAAGCACCACTGCACTCCTTTACAATGTTGAATCCATGTATTTTTTTTTGTTCTTTTATTGATCCAGTGCTTTTGCACATTTTTGCAAAGTGGTCATATTTTTTGCACTTGCTGCATTAATTACATTTACCAGGGCATTTCCTTCTAAGTAATGTATCTACACTTTCCACATTGTTTACCTGATTGCTTCCGGCGACTGTCTGCAGTCTTGCCACCTTTTTGATTTTGTTTACGCTCTCTCAGCTTCAATCCATGAATTTTATTTTCATCCCTAGTCATTGTTTTAAATTAAGCTTTAAAATGTTCCATAGTAGTACGACCAATATCGACTGCAATGTCAACGAAGATCCTTCCTGAATTAATCTTACTCTAACTTTCGACGATTTGACTCGAAATACTGTTTGCTCTCTTGCCATTTTGTCAGCTTCTCGATATCCAGAATCACGTGCTAACAGTTTAAGTTCAGTTACAAACATTTCAAATGCTTCTTCCTGGTCTTATATTTTGGCATGAAACAACTATTGAGCAAACACTTGTTTGGACTTTGGTTTTACGTAAATTTTAAATAGTTAATACAATTTATCAACCTTTTTCTTTTTTTTCGTCTGCTACTGCAAACGTTTTGTAGATTTCTCGTCCTTTCATTCCTACCTAAATTATCAAATAACTTCTCTCCTCAGCTTCAGAACGATCCTTCAGTGGACCTTCAAACATAAATTGCGAATGTTCTTTAAACGAGCTTCAAAAACTAGGTAAATCTTTGAGGTCAGTCCATTTGAGGAACTGAACCATTAATTCGCCCATCTTTTCCTTTTTTTTTAAGAAAAACACCTAGGTTTTGCTTTAATAAACACTTAAATTCTCACGAATGCATAAGAATTGACTGCTTACAGCGCCATGTAACCTCAAAACACCACATTGGTATTTTAAGAAAGAAAATGACTTGCCTCTCAGCAAGTAAATATTTTTTATATTTTGAATACTCATTTACATAACTAATTAAAATACATTACAGATATTACATTTGTTCATTTAATTTTTTTTTTGTAAAGGATAAAAAAATGCAATTACATTTTCTTGATATCATACCGTGGTACAGTTTTCACTGGTTTGGTAGGATAGTCTTTGGTATCTTTGGTATCGTAGGATTCATCATTCTTGGTATTTCATTAACCTTCTATGATGAGGATTCATTTCATTGTTTTAACAAGAACATATCAGCAACCAGAGAAGCTTCTCTTATAAAAAATATTGATTTAAGCTGTTTTATTCAATACAAAAATGAGTTAAAGTACAATATTTCTAATTTGCTTATGGTGTGTTTGAATTTCGGCATTGTTATAATCTTGGGAATTATCTTTGGATATTTGGTAAAAAATCGAGTTCAAGACTATGCTCGTTCTATAACAGAAAACTACAGAAATGAAAGTAATGAAACTTTACTTGCAACTACTAGTAAAAAGTATCCTTGTTTTCCTACGTTTTTTATTTACATCATTCATTTGGGTGTTCGCCTCGGCACAGTGAGTGTATTTGTTGGGTTACTTTTCTCCATGAATATTCCCAATGACTACTTCTGTTCATGGCATCCAAGAATGATGAAAGAAACATCCTGGATAAATAACACTGTTCCTGCCTCAAATGATGTCATATTTCTTGATTGTATAAACGCTAGAAGTGCCAAAAGTAAAGCCTTGATCAACGTTGTAGCAATTATTGATGTTATTTTTATCATACTAACTATTCTAGAGCTTATTTACTTGTTTTATATGGGTTGCAAGGACAAATTTTTCATAAGAGAGAAAGAATTTTGCGTTGTGTATTTGTTACGAAGTCATAAAAGAATGGGAAAATGGTTAAAGCAAATGAAAAAACAGTCTCGTGATTACAAAATCCCTGACGAATTTATTGATGGAAATACCTTGGAAAATGTTGACATTTCAGTCATTAAAGTGGAAAATTTATTGGAAAAAGCCTACCCTAAAACTTGTAAACGACATGAAATCTTTCATTATCAGCTTAATCCTGATGAAAACGAAAAGGAAAACGAAAAGGAAAATGAAAAGGAAAAAGAAAAGGAAAAAAAATTGATAAAAGCAATTTTTGGGGAAATACAGGAACGTTCCATTTTAGTCATAGGAAGAGCAGGAATTGGTAAAACTGTGTTGACTAGAAAACTTATGCATGAATGGAAACACAGTAAAAATGAATTTTGGCAAGATAAACTCGTTGTTTTAATAAGATGTTGTGCGCTAAAAAAGGGTTACAATTCTGTCAAAGATATGTTGAGTGAATGCGATAAAGCTTCAAATCAGGATTTTGAGCAAATTTACCAATTTATACATGTCCATCCAGAAAAAACAATCCTTCTCATTGACGGTGTTGATGAACTGGACAATGATGAGCTAGAGCAGCCCAATGTCAAAACAGTTTTCAGATCGTTAAGTGACCTGGTTGGAGGGAAACTGTTGCCTGATGCCACTGTTCTGATAACATCACGACCCACAGCCGAAAATAGATATCGTATGTTACCTTTTGACCGGACTGTAGAGATCTCGGGCTTTTTTAATGACAAGATCAAAAAATGTGTCAACACGATTTCCGTTGAAAATAATGATATCTCTGACCAGATTATGAAATGCATTGAGAGTTCTCTTGAGCTGAGTAGCTTATGTTATATCCCAGCAAACACAAAAATGATCTGTCAGACACTATACAAAAACTTCAAAGAGAATAAGGAAAATGTTCCAAAGACTATAACAGAGGTCTATAAAAGCGCACTAACAGAAATCTCTAATGAGGCGTCTGAAAATGACATGAATGAAATAAAAGATATTGCATACAAAGGAATTGTTGGGAAAAGATTAATTTTTGAAAAAAATGCCAGTGACCCTCCTATATCAACTAAATCGAGTATTTTTCATGAAATACCACGTACTGGTGAACGCCTTCTTTTCTGTTTTGATCATTTAACTCTTCAAGAGTTTCTTGCTGCCAAGCATGTAGTTGAAGATAACAAAAACATTGAAAACTTTTTAGATGATCATTGCAAAAATCCTAAATGGCATTTGGCAATACAGTTTGTAGCTGGTTTGGTTGGAGACATAAAGAGATCTGGACAACATGATAAAGAAAGAACGAAAAATATTGAAGAAAGGTATTATTATAGAGTTTATATTTCTTTCATAAACAAGCATGAACTATACGTGTTATTTTCTTTTAAAGATTGGGCTTCCATTTTAGACAGTTTTATGCTGAGTATAGGATGAAGAAATAACAATTTATAAAATGGGGCTTATAAAATAAGAAATGAGTTTTTTCTATATAGAAAATAGTTTTGCGTGTTTTATAATTTGTCATAAAGTTTATTAATTTTCATTAGAGAGTCTTCTAACGAACATTATTCCATCGTTTAATCCCATAAAAACACGTGCAACATAGACCCTTTCCACATTAACGCTACGTTTTTATCGAAATAAAAACGCATCGTTTTCAATGCATCCACAACAACGTTTTAATGGCGTTTTCAGCTGTCCACACTAAAACACTTGAAAACAATGAATGTATGATATATCTGGCTGCGCATGCTTTTACAAAAACCGCCCACGTACTGTTGTTGTGACATCATTTGAAATTTGTATAGGTGTAAGAGTGTAACTTGACTGTTGACTGTCCTACACTGTCCTACAAAAAAATAGTTCACGAAATTTGTGCATCAAAGATTTAAGGTAGTTCCACCACTTCAGCTCTACAAGTGCTCCATTGCAATGCACTTCTTTAAAAATTTAATGATTTTTTCGGTAAATACTTCCAAACATCTCTTTAAAAAACAGTGTCATTCAAACCATTGAGTTCTATAACAACTTCAGTGGCTATCTCAAACACGGCTTTAATTAGCGGCTGACGCCAAAAAATGGAGGATTTGTTCCATTACCGCTGAGATTTACCGAAATTGACTGTCTTCCGAAAATCCCACAATTCCTCTCTCCCCCCCTAGAGAAAGAGTGAGGAAAAAGTATATGTGTTGTTCGCATATTTTAACAAGCAATTTTATGATGAAAATCACTGTAAAAACATAAATTTCCTAAAAGCAAGTCTAGTGTGTTTGCCAGTTGTCGGCTTCTACGACGGATGCCTTTTTTTAATTATCGACGAACGAGGTACATATTAACGCAGATGTGCGCATCTTAACTGTCGTTTAATGATTTGCTTGATCAAAGTTTGTAGTCTGCAAGAAATAAATTATATCATATTCTGTGTTAACGGATTACGAGAGAAATCTTAGCTTATTCATTCTCATTAGCTTTTTGCTGTCTTTCATGTGACGACCTTTTTCGCAAGAATTGTAGGATTTGTTTTTGTACATGCATCTCTCGTAAATGAATAATGACAAAAATTTTGTATACATATCACGAGAATTCGAGAATCTTTGAGATTATTGTAGTCTTCTGAACAAGAACTGCATCAAATACTTGCCAAGTTGTAGCATATTCGATTTCGTTGTAATGATTGTGAAATGGCAAAAAGCAAATAATTAAAACACTTAAATTACAATAGTGTTTATAATACCTGAATATATGAATACATGAATACACAATTGTGTATTTAATACTTCTCTTCTTTTTCTCTTTTTTATATGTTTCCTATTAGCCATGTGATTTGAGAATTTGATTGACTAATACAGCTTTTACCTCATTAATGAATTTTATACCCATATTAAATATCAGTTGCTCTGGGATTTTTCCCTCTAAATATGCAACATCTGGTGTTGTTTATACAAGAATGAAGAAGTGCATGTACATATGTAAAAATAAGGCAATAAAACCAGGTGAATCAATCATATTTTGTGTTCTTTAATGCTAAAATATAACAGCTTTTCAGTAATTATAGAGTTATTAAACTGTTCTACCTGTATTTCATCCATATTATGAAATGAATTAAGAAGCAAAAATTGAAGAAAAACTTGGAAAAGTCAAAACATTTCCTTGGATTATTAAAGGAGAAAATAAAACGAATGGCAAATGTCCATTCAGTACTTTATTAGGTAAATGAGCTCAAAATATTTTTTCAGCAAAAACTGAAGTTAAGAAGAGACGTATAGCACTGAAATTTTTATCACTGAATCTTTAATGATCCAATATGGCTTGTATTACATATAAGTAGCATTCAAACAACATTCTACTAAAATAATTTAATAATGAGATGTGACATGATTTTACAATTTAGTTGTACAAAAATTGTACTGTTGCAGTAAGTCATCATCAATCTCAGTGTCAATATTGACAGAAGCACAAACTTTATGACCTATTTACATGACATTTTATGAAGCATCAAGACACAGAAAGCCTTGTCATCTTTATTTGATACTTGACCTTTACTTTCAAAGCATTCTAGGCATCTTTACAAAATCCATTATCTCCATCCATTGAATTAGTCCAGGTTTAAATAACTGTTGGACCGGGAAGTCTGTAAATAATTTAGCCTTATAATTTTGAAGTTAGACTCTGCCTGGTCAATAGAATCTTCTAATTGTCTTCATATAGAGATCTATGAAATAGTGTTTGGTACTGGTACTGCAATACTGGTACTATTTTGCTATCCCATCATCCTTCATGTTGTCAGCAAATTGATCAGAACAAACTCTTCTCTACTTCAGGGGTTCTCTTTGTGGTTATTTTTCTTTCATAGTATCTGCCAACTGAGTAAAAAGAGCAGAATTTTTTTTGCGTCAAATATATTTACGGTTTCACACATTAACAAATAAGTCGAAAAGTATGTTGATATTTAAAAAGAAAAACAGGAAAACGACAGTCCGATTTTATCGCTCAAGCTTCAAGATTAATTGATCAATTTAGTTAATTTTCAATTTTTTGATCAACAAACAAAACAAATACCTCACCTGTGAAAGAGACATGTTCCTTTTTGTGGATACTACGATAGCCAACAATTGAATGAGTGAAGTGTTGGCATTTTAAAAGAAATGCAAAAAAAGATACCGTGTTTGTTTTGAAAAATGCTGTATAATTAGCTATAGACATCAGGGGGAGGGGGAGAATATAATTTTTCTGCGAAGCGAACATTTCAGCGGAAATAGGTCCATTGGCCGCCAATTTTTTGGCGTCAGGTCCCAGTCCACTTAGCAGCTCCAGTTATTATAGAACTCAATGATTCAGACGGCCATGTTTGTAAATTACTATTGTTTTACTTACCTAGATTTGAAAAATGGATCTCTCATCTACTTCGTGATGACGGCGATAAAGCACTTGGTTTTCTTGGCATGAAGTGTTTATACGAAATGCAAGACATTGATGTGATAAAGTCAGCTTGTACAAAATTAAATTCCAACGAAAATAGCATTGTAGAAATACGGAATGCTATTTTTACGCCTTTAGATTCTTATAACTTATGCAAATTTATATCCAAATGTGAGCACATAAAAGGAATCCTGTTTACTTCGTGTAATTCTGATCAGCAAAACTGTTTTGGATTGAAAGAAAAATCGTCAAAAGGGACACGGGATAACTATAAAAGCTCAATCTCTTTGGAATATGTATGGTGTACCCATAATAATGGACGCGAGCAACCTTTAATGATACAAATTGTGTGATCATTTCCATCTATTATGTACTCTATAAAAGTAATTACTTTTACAGTATTTCATGAAGATTTTGTTCATTCAACATCAATTTTTATATTTTTTATACTTTTGTTCATTGAACCTCTGAAGTAAAACCTCTCAACTCTCCTTTTTCTCTTAAACTGAAAGAAGCGCTCTACATTAAAAACTCAAACCAGACCTCAACAAACAAATATACCACATTAATACAATATTTAACCTGTAATATAATATCTAACACTAATTCTGTAATTCTTTAATACACTTAACGATATTCACATGCACATATATATATATATATATATATATATATATCATGTAAATAGCATTATCACCTTCACTCGATATACTGAAGATGGCATAAGCATGCCGAAACATGTTTACAATAAAAAAACTCGTCTTTCATTTAAAATATCTGAAGTAAAACCCTAGTTACTCAAGCAAAATATAATTTTTTGACTTTATTATTTGTCATTTCTCTTGACGATATACATTTACAAACATGTAACGATACTCTAGGGTTCAAACTATTTACATTATTACGATCATTTGGACGACAGAGCGAACAACTTGCTAACGACTACATACGTTTTGCAAGCAACGTCAGACGCATACGCCAACAACTCTGGTTCAACCATCGCTGCAAGGATTTTGGTCTCGTTCCGGGAGGACTTAGAATTAAGTCCCTGTTGAACACACAAGAGGCTATTCAGATTGTCAAAGCCACGAGCAGACGACTGATACGAGCACGAATTAACGACTGTCATAGACGAATCAACTATTACATCAAACAACAAGAACAAAGACTGAACAAACTGAAGGAACTCATACCAACGACAGTAAGTGATACTTTGCTTTCTACGATACAAACTATTGCAGAGAAACGAGCAAACAAGACAGAGACACGACACCAAATCAAACAACAACAAAAACTTGAACGTTTAAAACAAACTAAAACAAGTACAAGACATAACATGACGATAACTGGGTGAGGACTATTTCTTCCCGCTCATTAGACGAAACTGAAACGCGACTACTATCTTACGGTCTAAAACATTGCATAACACCTAGACAAATCCCGACTGAGACGATAGTATCAATTGTCGAGGCTGTCTTAGCGTACCAAAGAGACTTATAAGAGACAACCAAAGACGAGATCTGAAGCAGGATAGCCTCTACTTTACAATCGTCCTCTATACGTGACAACAACCTTACAAAGGACGAACAACAAGCACACAAATGACTAAAACACAACAACATCGTCATTTTACCATCAGACAAAGGGCGCGTGACTGTGGTCATGGACAGGAATGATTACTTTAACAAAATGGACACCCTTGTTAACGACAGACAAATGTACGAACAACTCAAACCAGACCCAACACCATCACTAGTACGCAAATTTAACAGCAAGATCTTCTCTGTAAGAAAATCTAACATTATATCTGAACGTCTTTACTATCTACTCGGATGTTCAGTACCACGACCACCCAGACTATACGGACTACCAACACTGCACAAACCACAAATACCCATGCGACCAATTGTATCATTCTGTGGTTCGCTCACTTATGAACTCTCAAAATACTTAACTGACATACTGCAACCACTTACAAACAAATCAAAACACAAGCTACAATCCACTGAAACTTTCATTAAAAAACTGAGCACTATACAAATACCGGACAGCTATATACTAGTGTCTTTTGACGAGAAATCACTGTTCACCAGTATCCCACTTAATCTGGCACTTACTTGTACAAAAATCCTCATTGCAAACACTACTGACGTACTGCCATTACCAACAGAAGACATTACAGAGCTACTGGAGCTCTGCCTCACTTCGATATACTTCTAGTACAAAGGTACACACTACAAACAATTACATGGAACAGCAATGGGCTCACCCGTTTCTGTTGTAGTTGCTGAAATTGTAATGCAATCTATAGAGCAATGGGCGCTCACGACTTACAAACATGCACTACCTTTTTGGTTCCGCTACGTAGATGACACAATCACAGCACTACATGCAGATGAGATTGATGAGTTTCACACACACATCAACAAACAGAGCAGCCACATACAAGTTACCAAAGATGCTGACGAAAACGGAACTCGTCCTTTTCTCGACTGTTTGGTAAAACATGACAATCAAAACAAACGAACAACAGTTTATCGCAAGCCAACACATACTGACCGACTACTAGACCAATCATCTTACAATCCTACATCACACAAAGCCACCACAATCGAACATTAATAAGACGTGCACAAATCATATGTGGTTCACCGGACGCTCTACACAACAAAAACAACTATGAAAGAATGTTTAATTGAAAAGAATTTAATTGAAAACAACTATCTCAAACGTGTTTTAGACAAAACCAACTATAGCTCTGACTTTATCAAACGCAACACTTACAAACCCAACGAACCCAACGAAATGAACAACTCAGTGACAACAGCAACGATACCTTACATCAAAAGTACGTCTGAGACTATCTCGCGTAACTCACAACCATACAACATACGTGTCGCACATAAGCCAACCACAACGTTACGACAAGTACTAACGAACATAAAGGACTGAGAACAGCCCAACGAACGACAAGGTGCAATTTAGAAAATAAACTGCTCCGACTGCCACGCCTCCTGTATCAGGGAAACTGGCAGGAACTTAAGCATAAGACTTACTGAACACAAACGAGCTACTAAAAAACAAGACAAAACTAATCACATTGCCGTACATCACCGAATCACAAAGCAAAGCATTGACTGGGAGTTGGCAAAATATATTACTTACAGTATTGACTAAAGACAACGGCTTATATTAGAAAATTGTTACACCAACTTGGAACAAACCCCCCTGAACAGATCACAGCAATTACCGATACAAACAAACGATCAACTAAAAACATTACACTTCACACTAATTCACAATGACAATACACATTTCCGGTACACACAATACAATGACGTAAGACGACAAATACGGCCAATCTAACGTTTATTCCTCATTTGACTCTGAAGATGAGTACCGCTAAGGTTGTCGAAACGTCAGTCAACAACAACAAAAATAGTAGACAAATAAAGTAAGCACAATGTCCTGCATTACCATGTGGCGTATCAAAACAATAACGCGCATGCTCGTAGTCAATTTAATGGCGTTGAAGGATTTAGTTGTATGTTTTACTGTTTGGACTCAGCTAACATATTTTCTACTATCATACATGAGAATATTATAATAGCTTCTACAAAAACAAACAGTTACTGCGGAACAGTGACGATAGTTTTTACTTTGTTAATGATGTGTTTGCACTTACTTTTGGGCTTCAACACTTACTGTGACGTTTGATGGAAAATCGTTCCCTTTTTTTTGTGAGGCGATGCGTTCTTTTCAAGAGTAAACCATTGCTGACTTTTTCAAATTTCGTTTCCTTTGAGATAACTTATGCACTTTACTATTACATAACAAATTTTTTAAATGTCATCTCTTGTGATAGCATTAACCTGATTTGATTCGACTAAATTAGACGACGCAGCATTCATTTCGTGATTGTTCGTACTTGACGTGTAGTAAAGTACAAATCACGATTTTGCTAAAGAAACTATTTTCGGCTACCGGAATGCATCGGTCGTAACGTCATAAGTTTAATCTTTAATAGACAGCATCTCGTTTAAACATGAATAAGTATAAATAGATAGGCAGTTTGAAAAACTTTACTAACCCACACTAATCCTGTCATTGAGCTGCTGCCTATTTCCACAGAGGGCGTAAATAAGAAAGAAAATTTACATTTTTGTGTCTACATTTGTGCCCACCTTTGTTTTACCTTTAAATCTACCTTTATATCTACTTTTGTGTCTACGTTTTTGTCTATCTTTATGTGAAACTTTTTATGGATTTATGTTTACCTTTGACAATCAGTATTTCTGCCGTCGTTTCTAATATTGTGTCTATCTTTTTGTCTAACTTTTTGTGTGCTTACTCTAAAGTTTGAGGAGACAAATTTCACAATGTGATAGTGTTTTTCTTCGACTGTCATTGAAAAACCGTTCAAATTGTTTTTAATTGTACTTTTTATGTACACCATTTTTCGAAATTTAATGAGACATATTGTCGCACGAATCACAGCCATTACACCTTTCAATTTTAACTATACAACATTATGGAACCTGGAAACGAGTCATGCTCACGACTGTATCCAATCATGGTTATTGATCAACTGATCCGATGATCTAATGGTCCAATTAATTTCCATAAATTCAATGACCGTTAGGCTAAGACATTTTAAAACATATGAGAATTTGAGATCCTGATATCAACAAAAACTTCATAATACACATTTTTATCAATTTGCTTCAGAGGTGCTGCTATCCGGCTTTAATTTTTGCTAAGTAGCTTCAAATAAACATGCAAAATACACGAAATTTTGAAAGCGATATGTTTTGGATGATACGGTATTTGGAAAAAGTATGACAAAAAAACAGACAAAAAGGTAGGATAAACTCATTCACATACTATGCCCACAATCAATGGTGATGTTCAAAAAGTTCTTTTGTCTATTTACAAGTGTGGACTATTAATTAGATCTCTTTCACTCATAGCTACTGTTTCACCATCTTGTGATATCACAATAAAAATATCACAAAGAAATAATTCGAAACTCAACAAAAATGATAAACTCTTCATTATTTTCCTCAACATTATACATATGCAATTTGTTCTCGAGTATTTATGCATGAATTTATGATAGAAATAAATTTCTTATTGGTGGTATAAAGACAACATACCAAAAATTCTCATAGCATATTTGAATGATTTTGAAAGGATTCCGCCAATTTACAATGTCATGAGAAACTTGTGTATAAAAAAAATCATGTAGCTATTCCAGAGATCAACGTTTTATTTCTCATATTATGTAAATGATTTCTTGTTTCTTAAAATTCATGTTTTTCTTTGGATACTTTTTGCGTCAATATTTAGTATAACGATAGATCAGTCTATAAATCTTTGACCTAAATACATAAATGCTACATCTGTTAAATGTTTGTAACTATACATTCATTGCGTAAAAAATGAGAAGTAATTTTGCTTACCTTTGACATATATCTTTTCGACTCTACTTTAAGATCGCTGACGCTTAAAATTTTTAACCGAATACACAAACTTCTTGTTCAGTTAACACTGAAATAAAAAGAGTTAAAGGTATCTAAATGTGTTAGCGCTTCTTTTTTGGCCTAATAAAGATCACCTGATTGGCTAAAACCAAATCTGTAAACAAATGAAGTTCTTTTATGATAGTTTCTCCCCCCTTCGCCATATAACTTTGCAAAGATTCTGATGCATTTGTCGACAATAATCTTCCTAATGTGGCTATAGATTGTAGAAACATCATCGGAAATAAAAGTTGATAGCAGTCGTTGAATTAATCAGAGAGATAAAAATAGATTTTTATGTGTTGTGGTAAAACAGTTTTGCGCTCATGTTTATTGATCAAATCACAACAATTGATAACATATTTAGAGTTATATATCTAAATTCTAAGCACATCATTGCTTTCTGCATTTTATACTATATGCCTACATGCAGTAACTTATGCAAGAGAAATGACAAAATAATAAAATCGAAAAGTTATATTTTGCTGGAATAATTATGGCTTTACTTCAGAGATTTAATGAACAAAAGTATAAGAAATACAATAATTGGTGTTGAATCAACAAAATTTCATGAAATACTATAATAGTAATTATTTTTACAAAGTACATAATAGATTATATAAACATATTTATTTTTTGATGACAAAATGTATTGATTACAAGAAGCAAGATTCGATCGTTTTTTTATAAAATAAACTGTCATTTTGTGTGAAAGCCAGTTTCAAGTGGAAAAAATTTTAAGTGATCTACAAGAAAAAACTTAATATGTGGAAAGTTAATCACAAAATTTTTAAAAATCATTGTTTCATATTTGTATTTTGCAAGCTTTAGATACATACTCTCTAATTACAATTCCCAATATTTGTGCAGGATTTTTGATACACTCTAGACATTGCTTAATATAGCTAAATCTTAAAGAACCATAAAACTTATTATACTTGAAAGAAACACTCTAAAACCGTCTTCGAAATACACAGTGCTCTTTTGCGAAGCTTACGTCTAAAACTTGATAGTATTTAAGTATCTTGCTTAAAAAGTAAACTTTTTTCAAGATAATTATTACCATGAACAGGATGTAATAAAATTGTTAATTAGTTTGTTATAACCAATCAATGCTCAATTTTATGAGTTCACAAGTCTCGCTGTTTAAAGCTATTTAAAAAAAAATTACATCGTTATCTGTACAATAAGTTTACAAGTGGATCTCAAGAAACTTTTAAGTGATTTAGCAGATAGATGTATTTAGGATGAAAGGAATGAATATGTAAAACCCGTGTTATAGTGAGAAATAATTAAATAAGACACTTAGCATCTTGATCTGCTATATAATTCACGTTGACACCGGTATATTATTCGATATTTTACAAATATTAGTTTGCAAAGCTTCACAAAAATGTTTAAAACCTTTAGACTAATAACTTTATATTTAACTTTTACTTTTTAACGCTTTACTAAGATGTTTCACATGCTTTACTAAGATGTTTCACTAAGATGTCTTCTAGCTCGCTAAGTCGAATATTCAATTCCGTACGTTTATAATCTGCACTTCAGTTCATATTCATGATAAGAATACACGATACAAATTGCAAAGAGATTAAGCTTTTACAATTATCCCGTGTCCCGTTTGACAATTTTATTTCCAAGTCAAAACAGCTTTGCTTATCAAATTTACACAAAGTAAACACAATTTTTTTGTGCCTACATTTGGATATAAATTTACATAAGTTATAAGAATCCAAAGGCGTAAAAGAAACATTACGTATTTCTACAATGCTATTTTCGTTGGAATTTAATTTTGTACAAGCTGACTTTATCACATCAATGTCTCGCATTTCGTATAAACACTTCATGCCAAGAAAACCAAGTGCTTTATTGCCGTCATCATGAAATAGAAGAGAGATCCATTTTTCAAATCTAGAAAAGTAAAAAATAGTAATTTACTAACATAGTTGTCTGCTTGAATTATAGTGGTTTTTAAAGAGATGTTTGGAAGTGTTTACCGAAAAATCATACAAATTTTTAAAAAAGTGCAATGTAAAAAAAGTACTTGTAAAATTGCTTGTTAAATATGCGAACAACACATATACTTTTTCCTCACTCTTTCTCTAGGGGGGAGAGAGGAATTGTGAGATTTTCGGAAGACAGTCAATTTCGGAAAATCTCAGCGGTAATGGAACAAATCCTCCATTTTTTGGTGTCAGCCGCTAATTAAAGCCGTGTTTGAGATAGCCGCTGCTGTTATTATAGAACTCAATTGTTTGAATGACAGTGTTTTTTAAAGAGATGTTTGGAAGAATTTACCGAAAAATCATACAAATTTTTTAAGAAGTGCACTATGAAGAAGCGCTTGTAGAACTGAAGGTGGAGCTACCTTAAATCTTTGATGCACAAATTTCGTGAACTATTTTTCGTAGGACAGTCAAGTTACACTCTTACACCTACACAAATTTCACATGATGTCACAACAACCGTACGTAAGCGGTTCATATAAACGCATGCGAAGCTAGATATATCATACATTCACCGTTTTCAAGTGTTTTAGTGTGGACAGCTAAAAACGCGATGAAAACGCTGGTGTGGATAAATTGAAAACAATGCGTTTTTATTTTGATGAAAACGTAGCGTTAGTGAGGACAGGGTCTATGTTGCACGCGTTTTTATAGGATAAAACAATGAAATAATGTTCGTTAGAAGACTAGTTAATAAAAATTAATGAACTTTATGAGAAATTATAAATTTTGCAATACTATTTTATATATAGAAAAGACTGATTTTATATTTTATAAACAATATTTTATAAATTGTTATTTTTTCATCCTATTCTATGCATAAAACTGTCTGAAATCGAAGCACAATCTTTAAAAGAAAATAATACATACAGTTCATGCTTGTTTATAAAAGAAGTAAAAACTCCAAGATAATACCTTTCTTCAATATCTTTTATTATTTTTTTCATATTTGTTTCAGATCTCTTCATGTCTCTAAACAAACCAGCTATAAACTGTATTACCAAATGCCATTTAGGATTTTTACAATGATCATCTAAAAATTTTTCAATGTTTTTCTCATCTTCAACTACATGCTTGGCAGCAAGAAACTCTTGAAGAGTTAAATAATCAAAAAAGAAAAGAATGCGTAGACCAGTACGTGGTATTTCATGAAAAATACGTGATGTTTTCAAGATGCGAGGGTCACTGGCATCATTTTCATTAATTAATCTTCTTCCATCAATTCTATTTTATGCAATATGTTTTATTTCATTCATGTCATTTTCACACGGATCATTATATAATTCTATTAGTGCTCTTTTATAGACCTCAGCTATAGTCTTTGGAAATTCTCTTTCCTTTTTGAAGTTTTTGTTTAGTATCTGACAGATCATTTTAGTGTTAGCGGGGATATAACACAAGCTACTCAGCTCAAGAGAACTCTCGATGCATTTCATACATTAGAAAAAGCAATCGATATTGGTCGTGGATTGAAGCTCAGAGAGCGTAAACAAAGGTCCTGTTCACACGATACCGGATTGGTTCGATACCGGATTACCTTTCGTACCGGATAGGCCTTGCGTTCATACGGCTCGCTGAAATCCTGTACACTTTATATCGTTTTTTCCGGAGCGATTTGACTCCGCTGTGGAAGTGGTATAAAAACCAATCCGATACTTTCCGTTGTCGTGTGAACGCTCGAATCCGAAACGTTCCACTTTGGCAACTAAAAAGTTCATGCGATTTTTCAAAAATGAAAGCAAACATAGCGATACAAACAATGTTTTAAATAAATAATCCGCCAGCAAATAGAATATATCTTCAGCATGGCATGTTTAAGTTTTTAACAATGTATTATCGCAGTGTGAAAAGCTTCTTTCTAGTATTATTGTAAGGGCAACATATCTTCGGTTGTATTTGAACTTTATACTCTTCCAGTCCTTGCGGCCATTCGCACAAATGATGCAAAAACCTTAATACACACAAGAAAAAGCTGTACTTTGTTATCTTTCAAAAAAATTTCTCAATTTCTTATGAAATATTTGAATTAGCAACCATCGCTGTTAACGCTTGCACGCACAAGTAGTGGGGCGATATAAAAACTTATGTATCGTCTTACGAATGCGGAATCGTGTGAACAGAATGCATTTTTCGTATCGGATTGCTCAACATGGAGTCCTTAAGTGTGACGTCACGTTGCCATGGCGCTAAAAAATGCAGTTCTAAACAAAATATCTTATGCGAGCGCTTTGGACACGCTTTTTGTTTTGAATGTCTAAAGCTTTAATTATCCAATGTAATCCCACAAAAGACAATAAAAAAAAACAGGAAAGGTTAAAGGGTCATCCAAGGGATCAACTTTCGTCGAAGAAGTGTAAAGGACGCGGGTCAAACGGGCAAAATGGTTTACTGTTTTTCTCCTACATGTGGCCATACGTCGGAGGGCAACACTAGCAAGTTCTTCGCTTTTCCACGACGAGTACAAGAGATGGATTCGACTCATAAGGTATGTGAACTGATATTCAAAAAGAATTCCTTAATCGGTGAACATTTGATGAATTGCGAGATTGTAAGGGAAATTTTGTTTGACCTAATGACGTCGATTCCATCCCGGGAAAAAACAAGATCTCTGCACCCTCCTCTTTCAGGCAATTTGAATCCTGTCGGATTGTTATAGACTGCACAGATATTGAGGTTGCTGCACTGGGATTGATGAGACAGCAAAATGCAACCTATTTATCATACAGAAGAATGAATTCCTTTAAGGTAATAGTTGGTGTTGCACCAAATGGAGTCATTACTAATGTCAGTCGGCTGTATCCAGGTTCTATTTCAGACAAGGCCATTGTGCAACAGTCTGGACTCCTTAATCACTTGACAGCTGGAGATATGATTCTGGCGGACAAGGGTTTCCTTATCCAGGATGTTGTACCACCTGGTGTCTGTGTCAATATTCCACCTTTTCTGAATAATGGAACTTTCACAGAGTGAGGTCAAGAAAACAAAAGCCATAGCTAAAGCCCGGATTCATGTCGAAAGAGCCAATGCTAAGTTGAAAGACTTCAAAATTTTAGGCGTCATTCCTTTGTATTTGCACTGCTATGCTTACATTTTGTTTCAATTATGTGCAGCACTTGTAAATTTGCAATTTCCTCTCATCAAAGAGGGATGCGAAGATATGGTTTTTGAGTAGTTTTATGCTTGAAGACTACATTGGACAGTTTTTTAATAATTATTGTTGTTCAAATAGAAATAAAATAATTTGTAGACTGAGGCTTACTTAGAAGAAAATACAGCTAGAGGGGTGGGAGGGGGAGCATTCTGATATAACAGTAAAGGGATGATTTTACCTCCTAGGGATTACAATATTTATCATCTGGTACAGCCTGGGTGTACATAGGGTGTCAAATTAGATCACTACGAGAATTCTTTTATCATGTTTAGGAGAACAGAAGTTAAATGAAGTTTTGACATATGTTTTACAATGGATGTGTTTTTGGGGAGAAGAATAAAAGCAAGTACTGCCCACAGTTACCCTTAAGGAGTCTTTCTGAACATTTCCCATGAGCATCCCATCACTTTTCTATGGGAATTTCAGTAGTATAGTACATGGGGGTAGGGGATCACAAAAAGTTCACTTTTTGTTATCCCATACGCCCCATGTACTATACTACATATAACCTTGGGTAAAAACTATCTTTATAACAGCTTAAAATAAGACCATTGTTCAAAGACGTCCCTCTGGTAAAAAGGTCATGTAAAAAAGCTGCGTAAAAAATTGTTTGTTTCAATATAGTAGTAAAAATTGTCTTTATAACAGCGCAATATAAGGCCATGTTTCAAAGGCGTCCCTCAGTAAAAGGCCATGTAAAAAAGCTGCGTAAAAAACAATTGTTTCAAAGGGGGGTAAAAATCTCGACGTTACAATCTATTGTTTAAAAATATGGAATCTATATGTTTTTGAAATATATAGGTGCGTTTAAATCTTAAAAACAGTCTTTACAAATAAATGTTAAAAAACATCGTTTCGGAGGAAATTCGGCAGCGCAGAGCACAAAGTGCTCGAGCAGGGGAATGGAATTTCCGAGAATTCTGGAACCCAGGTGGGGAAAATTTTTACGAAGTGAAAATTCGGGGTTCCCCCATAGATTCGATGAATATTCGAAGAATATTCGAGAATAACAGAGGCTTAAAAAATGCTCTTCAAAAAACCGTCTTTAATAATCAAGTGTTAATAATCAAGTGTTAATAAAGCATCTTTTTAAATAGTTGTTAGGGGCGAAGAATTTCAGGCAACTAAGCCTGAAATTTTGAGCGCAACAATGTCATAGATGCTCTTTACAAAATATGGAATCTATATGTTTTATATAATTTTTGTTAAAAGTGTTTTACTAACTGTTTCAGGATTTTGAATTTTTTTGTATATCGCTTTTGTATTAATTACTTGTTACAAACAGTTATGTGATATGTAGTCAAACATGAGGATTATTCTTCATCTTCAGTTTTAGTTTTAGATTGATAGTTATCTTTAATAAATTTTTTTAATTTTTCAATTTCATCATTTACAGATTTTTTAGTTGCTAGAATATTATTTTGTATAATAGCTCCGAAATTTGATGAATAACCATTATATAACATAGACAATGTAGATGTATGTTGTGAATAAACTTGTATTTTTGATAATCCATTAAATGCTTTATTCCATTTTCTTGCCCATTCATTATAATTAATTGAAGCTGTAGATACTTTTGTTTCAAGAATAATAGAAATATTGTTTAAATCATCATCAACACAGTATACGTAATATAAATCTAGTAATGCATCAGCTATCTTTTTTCATTATCATTTGTTATTTTAATGATAAATTTTTTATTAATCTTATCTACCATAATATCTAATTGAATTGTTTTAGATTTATCAGATGTATTTATAAATAGAAGTGTAAATTCAATAAATTTAATATTGTTAAAAAGGATATTTATAATATCTTGTATGCCACTAACATTTGAGTTGTAATTTAATTGATTACTATGGTTTACAATTTTACTTTTTACTATATCATCTATTTGAGTTTTAGTATAGTGTTCATTAAATTTATTATCAACTTGAGTTTTATTATAATAGTGGTCATTAAATTTATTATCAACTTGAGTTTTATTATAATAGTTATTTAAATTAGAAGTCAAAGCATACTTACCATCAGCTTGTGTTTTAGTATAGTAGTCATTAAATTTACCATCAGATTGTGTTTTAGTATAATAGTTATTTAAATTAGAAGTCAAAGCATATTTACCATCAGCTTGTGTTTTAGTATAGTAGTCATTAAATTTACCATCAGATTGTGTTTTATTATAATAGTTATTTAAATTAGAAGTCAAAACATACTTACCATCAGCTTGTGTTTTAGTATAATAGTTAGTTAAATTAGAATTTAAAGCATACTTACCATCTGTTTCAATCTTTGTATAATATTTATTTAAATTAGAACTTAAAGCATACTTACCATTTGTTTCATTCTTTGTATAATAGTTGGCTAATCTTGAAACAAAAACATATTTATTATCAGCTTGTATTTTAGTATAGTAGTCATTAAATTTACCATCAGCTTGAGTTTTAGTATAATAATTATCTGATAGATGTGTTTTATCTACAGATCCTTGTATTTTACATTAATATCTGTTTTATCATGCCCATAAAATAAGCTCATTTATATTATTCCTTAGATTTTATATCCGGTTTATTATTTTTATGTTCGTAAACATGTTTAACAGTTGTTATACCCCCAGATAAAAACCCTAAAAAAGGTAAGATTGGTGATACTTTTTCTACTAAACTGTACACATCTCGTTTTAAAAGGTCGTCTGATTTAAGCTGTTTTGTTAATTCTTTGGAATCTTCAATAGCATCAAACCCTTTTAATATATCTGAAAATTTTGATATAACTAAATCAGTTAAAAACTCATTAGCTTTTGTAATCGTTTTTCTCGTATTCAGTGTATAATTTATCAATAATTTTTGACTAGCTTTTTAATGTAAGCAACTGACTTGTCTAAATCACCATCTTCAGCTAGTTTAAGTAGTTGATCTCTTTTATTAAAACCCTCTTGCGGTTTATCTTGTATATTATCATCACATACAGCATCTTTGATAGTATCATTTGCGGAATCAATCTCATTAATTATATCATCAATTGTTTCAGGCTCTTTACGCTTTGGCATATATATAACACATGTTTTATTGCGGAATAACAATTTTCCATTGGTATGGGTATACAAGTTGATTTCTAAATGTGCATACTTATTATTTTTCAATTTTTTGGTTATTTCTTCTATATCATCTTTCTCAACACCATAAAGATAATCATCAAATATTTTTTTCATATCATTGCGGTTTGTATTATAAAATGTAACTAAATAACTTATATTTTCGCGATAAGGTTTAGCAATACTAGTCAATTGCTGTGTAACCACAATAGTAGACAGCTTATAATGACGAGAACTGAATGCTAAACGAACTAATTCAGATGTCCTATTTTTAACATCTAAGCAACTCGCACAGTCATCAAGTATAATAAGACTATTTGTACCTTTATATACATCACTAACATATTTTAAAACAATATCTACCTGATCTTGGTCACATTCTACTTTAATTAAATCAGAATCATTTATATATTTCCATTCTTGATAGGTTTTATTATATGATAAAGTCGGACATAATAAAATAATATAATCAAAATGTCTATTAAAGTTTTCTTCTAACATTGTGAGGAGATGATGACTTTTACCACAATTTGTCATGCCTACAATAATCATATTAAAGGGTGTGTTCATTTATATATTACTTGTTATTCTAGTATTGGATACTTTGGAGATCATTGTTTACAAATTGAACAAGAGCATCACTAATAACATAGATATAACAGTTTAAATCTTTTGTATATGCACTTTTTTTAATCTCTAGTAAAACACCATTTTGAGTATTAATGATTCGTTTACCGTTACCAGCAATATTTTTTTCTTGAAAGGTGCGTAAATCGATGACTAAACTGAATTTATCTTTATAGAATTTTTCAATTGTCATGAAGCAATCTACCGGGATAGTTAGATCAAAAAATTTTCTTGCTTCTTCATAGAATTGTCTTTTATTCATGCCTTGGGAAAACACCATATTAGGCACTCCTTCAATAGTCAAACGAACTTCGTTTATTAGTGGAAATTCGAATTTTTCACTATCACTAACTGAATTTTCTGTGAATAGCAATACGATGCCTTTCATTGATTTGCGGGGGACGTTTACATTAATATTTTGTAATGTACTTGACTTATCCCATTTTCCCTTTTTTAAGAGGGTTATATGTTCATAAAATAGACTTCTTCCTATAGAATATAAATTTGTCACCTCATCAGCAATTTCTTGATTCTCAATAGTTTCATATTCAAGCATAATATTTTCTAATTCATAATCACCTATAGTTTGACCACTTTGAGGGATAAGGACTTGATC